ATCATAAGTTAAAATTTCAAGTAAATGAGCCCATTTCGAAATACTTTTACCTTCACCAAGTCGTATATGTCCTTCTTAAGTCCAACTTTCAATTTAAAAAAGGCAGCAGCACCTTTTAGGTTAAAGAGCATATTATTTATTTACATTAAAAAATATTCGATACCGGACCTTCAGACTAATGAATTCTACCCGTTTGCTCGTTACATTTTGCAATAGAGATATTAGTTGATTTGAGATAATTAAACAAGTATTTGAATTTCACACTGTCACGGGCGTCAATACGTGCAAATCTGTTCGCCTGTGACAGAATTTGTGCGTTTCAGGTGCTTGAGGACACGGCTATTTGAAAAACTAGACTGCATATTTCCTTGCATGAACAAAACAAAGTTGATATCAAATAAAAAAAGGAAGAAATCCATTGTAGGTCACATTTCTGGGGGATGGTAAATGTATATCTAGTATATTCTCAAAGTTACTTCCTTAAAGGTGCATAGACACAGATTTGAAGTTAATATTTTCTAAAATTTTCTGTATGATATTAGGACCTGCATATTGCAATAGAATTTCACAAGAAAATACCCTAAAAATTTAAGTTTTTGAAACTTTGACTTGCTGCTCCGTTTTTTCACATCCTTGCACTTTCACTAACTATTCTTTTAATACTAAAAGAAGTGCTAATTTTGTTGTGCTTTAATGAGAAATATTAAAGCTATAATATAGAAAAATACAAATAAAAAATATGAAAAAATACAGAATTAGCTCACTCATCCACAAACAAACACATACTATTGCTGTACTTTATCCTGTAATATTGCCTTTGTGGGGTATAATAAAGACGACAGTAAGATCTTTAACGTATTTACCAACATTTATGCTTTTTACACCATAAAATTGCTTAGTTCCGCCTTAGGGAATTTCACAAGTGACGTATGGTCACAAAAAATCAAGAGTTCTTGGATCATTCTAGAGTATTACTTATACTGTTAAAACAGTCAAATATGATTCCCTGGATAAACGACTATATTACGAGTGATATTGAACGCACATGGGTAGACAATAACAATACAAACATGAAAAAAAAATCTCTTTTTTTCTAAACTGTGCAATGAAATGCATCTACTTACTTACTTAAAATCTAAAGAGAACATCAGGCAATTACGGCTTCATTACTTAAACACTAATTTCCGTTTCCTTTGTTTGTCTAGATGTTTTCTTAAGTTTTTCTAAATTTCAAATAAATAATCAAAAGTGTTACATAAGCTGAATTTCAAGTTCAATTTATTCAGTAAAACCAATTGATTTTACCTAAAATTCTATGAGCATTATACACAAAACAAAATATAGAAATACACGTTAAATACAATTTTGGAGAACAGATTATTCCATATGCTCCATTTATGTAACTGCATAGTTTAATTGATACTTTGGAGTCAGCGGTTGAAAACAAATCTAGGAATTTTACAATATTTTTTCACAGTATTTTCTAATCTGAAGTGTTTGTGAGCATTGTAAACCTATTACCCAAGAGTAGGTCACATGATCAGTGATGCATGGTATTTCATAATTGTAGTTTAATTCTATATAAGTAGACATTTACAGGAAGGTGCTACTCACTTCTGCATAATCCGGAGGGCAGACAAGGTAATCATATTATATATAGTGATAGTTTAATTAGTAATTACGTTTAGTGTTATGTATCTTCAATTCGATGTTTTTAGATCGAATATTTTTTTTCAAAATGATATTATTCAGGCTTAAATGTATTGAGAGTTAAAAATGTTAAAATAAATCAATGACATCATCATCCTTCTCTTTTAAGAAGCATTTTATACTAATTTTCTACTTCAGTGTTTAGCTCAACTCTTCTTTTCGATGTCTGTTTGTATATTTATCTTTGTTGACATGAAAAAGTAATCCTTTTAGATATATACTTTTGATATTCAAAGCATATAAATTTAAGAACAACTCTTCTTTTGTAATTTTCACACAATAAAACCCTAGTCTGCTCCCTTAAGTCTGTTCTTAATTTTTAGTCTACGGGCTGTTAATTTTCTTACATTTAAATGTTTTTAAATGAATTGCATTTTGTTTAAAATTTTGCAGCTTCAGCTTTTCTGAGAATCAATAGAAGATGAACAGTTTGTGGTTCTTGTGTTTACTGGCCGCGGTGGTGAGAGGGGCATCCGTGCAAAAAGAGAATGTCCAGTCTTTCGACATTAAGGAGGCCCAGAAACACCCAGGAAAGTTACACATCCTTAACACAAAAGCAGGGATCAACTATCAACCCTACGAACAAGCCTGGAAGGAATTCAAAATCCTTCATGGTAAGGCCATGTAATTCTAATTCTACAATGTACAAGTGTGGGGATGGTTGAACATTTACTTCAGCGCAGAAAAAAAAATCAATTTTCATCATAACCAATATAAATCTTCCAATTTTTTTTTTATTTTTTAAAACAATTCTTTAAAAAGAAAACTTACATAAAGTAAATAAATCTTTATGTAACTAGATTTGTTCACTTTGGCTATTTAACCATGATAAAGAAAGATTTAATATTGATATTTTAAAAAAAAAATGTTTCTGATAATCGAGGTAAACAATAAATGTATTGTCTTCAAAGAATTTGATAATAATTTTTCAAAGACTTAATCCTTATAAGTTTTTCTGCTGTACAAAAGTTCTGCATATTATTTTATCTTTATTTCAATTAACTTTCGAACATGTTTATGATTGATTGTATTGAAGGGGTTGGGGGTTGTGGCCATTTCAAGACTATTTGGATCCCTTTACCAGAAGAGCTCCATATAAATATATACAAAAGTTATCAAATCTTAGATTTGAAATGTAGGAAATTTCTCTTTCCCAGATGTTAATCAAGAGCGTAAGATATCATATTTAAGAAAATACCTTTTATCCAATGATTTATTTGTTCAAGCCCCTCCCCCCTAATGTAAAATTGGTGTTAGACAGTGAATCACAACCTTTATGTACTTCACATGACGCAATATTTGTAACTGCAGGTAAAACTTACAAGGCTTCTAAAGAGGAAATTCATCGCTTTGAGATTTTTAGAGAAAATGTCCTGAAAATTGAGGAACACAACCGATTATACCATCTTGGGAAAACTTCTTACTATATGGGGGTCAACCAGTTTACAGACCTGGTATGTCATGCACGATTACGTGTACATCACTTTCTTTAAAAATACTATAGTTAACAATACTTTACTACATATAACTATTTTTTACAATAGTGCGCACTTTGACACAATGAAAACTTTGATTTACTATATTGACAGCTTTGATTTACTATAGTGAACACTTTCACACTTTGACTATAGTAAACTATAGTTAATTTACTATAGTATTTTTTTTTACCTGTGGTGTGCCATTTGCTCATCTTCAATATATGTAAAAGTTAGATATATATTTATTTTTTTTTTGAAACAGGTATATTTTAAAATGTTAGTAGAATTGCCAAGAAAATCAGATCATAATTATATCATGATATCAGGGGTATTTTAATGTGTAGATATTCATTTCACAGGGGCAGGACCCCGATTAGTATAAAAATTCTACATATTATATAATGTATATGAAACCGACATTCAAACCTCGGTATCTCTAAGTCAATGAGAATGAAAAAACACTTATAAGATATATGAGGATTCGAGATATTGAAAGTATAATTCTTAAAGAAAAAATGTTTGACATTTCCAAAACACGTGGAAATATCAACAGTATTCGGGATATCCTTGCTTGAGATACGGACGCTCATCTGTGTATGTAAGATACACTATAACTACCGGGTTGTAATCTTTAAGTGGTTCCTTAACAACTGACTACATTAAGGATATTATTTACGATAGGTTATCAAAAAGTTCGTGAACTTTCTCTATATTTTCAAAACCAACCACAAGTCAAATCACAATGACACTTTGCATACTTTAGAGGCTTACCCATGTTTGATTAAAAGCATATGTAATAAAATGTTTTGCTCCATGGTTGTGACGTCACAATGTGAAAATGTAGTCAATATTCAGATCACTTGTGACAAAACATGGTTGACTTAGTTGTACTCTAGCAACGAAAAGCTTTACGGTTAAACGTATATCTTTGAATTTCCTCTGCACCAGTTTATGCAACAGTAAATGATGATGCCAATTGATGATTTAAATTGCAATGGAAACAAATATTGCCTTTGGCTTAACATGAAATCACAGTATACAGGCGTAAATATTCAAGATTTCGACAATCTATATGAGCAAGCAGTCTCGAGTAGGAGATAACTATGAAGCTACCCGTTGCTTGAGAAGATAATATTTACTTAAGAACTATTTAAAAATCTATGTGAGCATGATTTGCTTAACTTATCGAAAACCCCATTAAATCGTATGTCAGGGGAGTTATTTTAATAATATTTTATGAGCAGCAAACTTGTTCCTAGTTGATTCAACAGACGGAAGATAAATTATCAAAAGGTTTGAATGTTGTTTTCCCTGGTACATTTTTTAATGTTAAGATTAATGTTGTTAAAATATGGTGCCACAGATTTTGTGCAATACGACATAACTGATTGTATAATATTATATGTCGTCAATATCGCATTATTTTGTACATTTGATCTGTATGTTTTTCGATAACTGCCATAGCCGATTTGTCATTTGAGGAAAGGTAAAATTTGTTTTGCATTTTTTCATTTGTAGAAACTTGAAGAATTTGTAAAACGCAATGGTTTGAACAGAACCTCATTGAAGTATGGCAGATGCTCTGCACACCTTTCAGCCAAAGATCTTGTGTCTCCAGAATCCATTGACTGGAGAAAAGAGGGTTACGTCACAAATGTCAAAAATCAGGTAGGTATTTAACCTAATCTTTAAGGAAAATGACCTGTTCGAGACAGGATTTTATTTATCAGTTTTGCATGCTTTGTCATGAAGATGCCTGTTCACAAAAGGATTTATGATTTTTTTTTTATTATAAAACTTTCTCTTATTTAGCATCATTGCGGTTCCTGCTATACTTTTAGCACAGTAAGTTTGAATTTTAGAACATCATTTTAAAGGATGCTCCTCTTTACTCAAGGAGATTCAAAACATAACATCAGTGTTATAATAATTTCATTTTATATTTGAAAAAAAATATTTCTCGAACAAATTATATTAAAATTATGTATTTCCTATCCTCCATTATAATTTTCTCGTCCGTTGATTAGCTCTATTTAAGGTTTTTCCACCCTTGCAATTCTAATGGTTCGAAGTACAAAAACTGCATTTATTTTCAAATTTACAAACCATTGCAAAAGATTTGTAGGTCACCATATTATTCAGGATAGGAGACACAAATAACAAGAAATATATGTCAACATAAAGAAATTGTACACTTCTGTAAACAATATGATAAAAATTATTGAAAAATTGTTCAAATGCATAATTCTGATGATTATAGTTCCGAAATTCTTGCTACTTCTAAGACACTTTTGAATACAATAAAGAAAATGCTTGAATGAAGATACCTGAGGAGTTATTGCCCCTGTCAACATTTTTGAATCTTGAATAATTAATCAAAAAAAATTAATTCTTTTTTCAATTCTTTTACTCAACAATATTTATTATTACACCTATTGAAAAGCATTCTTATCGAAATACCGTTTGACTTGTGATGAATTAAAATAAATAACAGTTTTTGCAAGAGCCTATGACATCATTGGAGGTTGGAAATACCTTAAATCAATCGCATTTTCTCGGGTCTTTTCGTCAGAGGTCGGAAAGTTGTGTTTCTACTAGTCAGAAAGACTCGAGAAGTTGCGATTGCTATGTACATTTGACTTTATAGACTGGTGCCGTTGAAGGACAGCACTTCCGTAAAACAGGTGATTTGGTTTCCCTCAGTGAACAGCAGATTTTGGATTGCTCTGAGTCATTTGGAAATAACGGCTGTCATGGTGGATTGATGGACGATTCATTCAGATATATCAAGTCAGTAGGGGGGATCCAAACTGAAAAGGATTATCCATACACAGCAAAGGTACTTTAAAATTAACATACTCACTAACCAAACAGGTAATGAACAGATCTAAAAATGAGTCTTAAAAACCTTTTCTTTATCGTCACCTTCATCACCTGTATACATGGTTTATGTCTCTTAGTTGGTTCGATATGCAAGAGCATGCTCTACCTTTTTAACAATTTCGAAAAATATATAAATTATTGACAATCAAGTTAATGAAACAAGATTGTCACCAGTCTCGTTTAAAGTCTTCATTTCGTAAGTTCTATGGTCGATAGAATCAGAAAGTCAAAGTCAAAAGCTGACTAACATTTTCCCTACCTATTGTTTGTCCATTCATTATTTACACACTGTATTGACGACAGATTTTTCCGTTATTTTTCGATCATGACAAGAAGTACACTGCGGTTGTAATTGTTTGGCAGGGGTTGCTTACTCCTACATGGCACCTGATCCCATCCCTCATGTTTTTGAGGTCCGTGTTTGATAAATTTTTATTTTGTTTTGTTTTAAGGACTTTTGATCTTGAATACTTTTCGTTATCTCTATGTAAAATCCACCTCTGACGTCACTCTTTAGTTTAAGCACTTCATTATTTTTCAGGAATGGAGAGTTGCATATTACATTGAAAACAGAATTTGTCATGTTCGTATTCTCCTTCCCGTGCCTCTACCGAGGAAGAAACTTAATGAAATTTCATCAAGTTCATTTTCACTTAAATAAAATCTAAAAAAAATAATGGTACCCATGGTTGGAATTGAACCCGGTAGCTTTAGCTTCGATGTAGAGGAATCATTCCACAGAACTCTCGAAGCTGTTGACATGAAGTTGTTTAGATTAAATTCAGTACACTTTTCTGGCCTTACCTTCTATAGTATATATTAAATGAATACTGCTAATATGTATCGTATATTTACAGTGTATAATATAAATATCATTTATTATTTATTAATAAACAATAGATATAAGCATTACTTCTTAGGAATGGAGTGCTACTCCTACATTAACCCTTACATATTTCATTAGAAGTGGTTCCTATATAGATTCTTCTACTTTACCCTTTCTTGTTTCATTTATAGAAAATGGAATGTAAATTTGAACACGAAAATGTTGCCGCAACAGTCAGCGGATGTGTTGATATCGAGAGAGGAAGTGAAGTAGACCTGAAGCACGCTTTGGCCGAGGTGGGTCCTGTCTCAGTAGGAATAGATGCTAGTCACTCATCATTACAGTTTTATGATGGAGGTGAGATATACGTACTAGTCACGCATCATTACAGTTATATGTAGGAAATGAGATATACATACGTTTAGATTTTTTATATGAGTAGAGTAAGAATGATGAGGCTATGTATTTTAATGTCTTTGAAAAAAGTAAAACGTGTGTGTTAATTTTAAATCTGTTCCTCAATGACACAAAGTGCTGGTAAATTGATTGTCAGTTTCTTATGCTTTGCTTAAGAGTTGAGATGTATGCAAGAAAGCATCAGATATTTTCATTTACCTTGTCACTGTTTGGTGTAGGAGTCTATGTTGAGCCACACTGCAGCTCTGTTTGGTTGAATCATGGAGTTTTAGCTGTCGGATATGGTACTCAGGAAGGGAAAGACTACTGGATTGTTAAAAACAGGTACAGAGATTTGCCTTATGTTTGAAAGAGCTCACTATTTTTTCACATTTCATGCCTTTTGGATAGACAAATAAAGGATAATTCCTGCCCATTTCCTATGATTACATGTACATGTATTTCATCTAAACCTGTTCTTGTTGTAGTTGGGGTCCAGAATGGGGTATGGAAGGGTACGTCTTAATGTCAAGAAACAAAGACAACATGTGTGGAATAGCTACCGAAGCCAGCTATCCTCTTGTTTAGAAAACACGGTGAGTTGATGCAGTCTCAAATAACGAAATCGGTTTCTTGCGATAGAAATTCTTAAAGAATATAGACTTGGGTAATAATGGTACGTGTAAGAAAAGCTAATCAAGATTTTTTCTTTCTTTTTAGTTTTTTTTTTTTGAAAACGTTCTTATCGTCAAAGCTTGTTTTCACACAATATTTGAATATTTTTCCATCATATGCCCATGAATGTGCTTTCTGTTCACAGGTATACAGATAACTGCATCCCCAAGGACGAGCAATCCCAGACGATTAATCAAAGCCACAAAAGCAGATATAATTCTGTATAATAATATGATAAACCAAAAACCCAAAAAGCTGACACTTCACCGTATTTTTTTTAATTTTGAGAACATTTACACATGTTATATATCTTAAAATTGTTTTTGGCGCAATTTCATTGCATGACGTTGCCTCTCAATTTTATGTTCATTGTAACGTCATAATACGTTGTTCGTTGTTGAGTTGCTCCGCATTCAAATAAACACGACTGATGAAGGCCGGTTACACGGTCGAAATATTTCAAAAAGTGTTTGAAAGTTTTTCATTTTATTGATAAAAAGAGACTTTGGATCTTTAATTTATATATATACACGATTTAAACTGAAACCTTGTGATGTATTATCCATATTTCTATATAACATTGCTAATGACAGACTGAAGTTGAGAAAACTCAAAATTTCGTCTTGAGTATGTACTAAGTATTTAGCGTGAAACGTATGCCTTGATCTGGTGTAGCAGTGGGTCCAAGCCCTTCTTGATACATGTATCATATGTATGGACCTGTGATAAATGTAAATAATGAAATGCTTACTTTGTTTGTTAGTACGGGAAATTATATCTCAGTTGTTGCAGAAAAAATATGTAAACATATAACGTAATTTTTTCTGCAATATTTGCGACCTTCTGAAATATCAATATTAAGCATTTTTAAATGAAATGCATGTATGTATTTGAATAAAATATTTATTTTCAATCAAATCTTTAGTTTTTAATCTTCCGCAAAGTCGACTTAAGGACGTTCAATCCTGAGATTTTGAGCGTAATATGGTCAGGTCTTTTTTTCAGAAAATTCTGCATCATTTTTAAGTTCTAACATTAAATCTGAATTCTACAGTGCAAAGTCCATTCAAGTAGAATTAAGATAGGGACAATATTTTGTGGCGGAAGGTTTTTTAGACGAAAATGATCAGTTTTTCCATTTTGAACTATAACAGTACTGTTAATCTTGGATTCCTATTTTTCCATCCTGGTTGCACAAAAAGCTGTTTTTTGCAATTAAATGTGTTATGCTGGTTCTGAAATATCTATTAAATTATTTCTTATGAATTCTATTAACAAAGTTTGACAAATATAGTAAATATATTCTGAAAATCCGGGAAAAATTGAGCCAATTTTAACGTAAAATTAACACTTTTTTAGTAATGCCTGAAAATTTACATCATATACCCCCGCTTTTGATGTTCTTTTTTAAATATTCGAGATAAATTTGGCCTATTTGCTTAAAATCAGAAAAAATTTAAGACTTTAAAATAATTTTCTTGCTTATTAAATTTTCAATGCCAGAAAAATCACTTTTTATTAGTGCAGAAAGGTCAAATTATTGATTATGCGAAGCAATTTAAACTTTTCTTAGTCACAATTTTTAAGGAGGCAGGAGAGTCAAGAAATAAACCACAAATTAACCACCAGATTTAACTTATTTTTTTTAGATACGGTATCTTAAGCTGTCAACTATCATTTGGCAATGAAAAAATTCATACATTTTAGTTTTAAAATTTTATCATTTTTGTATATCTTTATATGGAGCTCTTCTTTTAAAGGAGATCAAAATAGTCTGAAAATGGCTGCCACCCCCAGCCTCTTTATGTGTCTTTTTTTAAACAAACTTAGAGTTCATTTTGTTTCATGCTTTAATTGGATAAAAATATTGGAGGGAAAACTTCAAAAATATAATTTTTAATTAAAACACAAATTTCAGTGCAAAAAGGTCATATTAAATGTACTGTAGCGCCAAAAGAAGCGTATTGACCCCCATTTTTTCATTTGAATTTTAATTAAGCTATGTATGTAGAAACTAAAGATATACTTGGCGAAAAAGTTTAAGACTTTAAATATCAGGATTGAACGTCGTTAAATGAAATTGAACAATGAGGAAAGAAAAAAGTTAAACTTCCAATTTTAAACAGATGTTTTTAATTTTTCTGAATATATAAGTGATCTGAATTTTAATGACTTCAGATTAATTGAAACAGAAGTATACATATTTTACTGTAGGAGTTTACTTGCATATTACAATGAAAACTGTTTCAATCGGCACAGGTGGAATCGGTCACACATTAAAAGTCGAAGTAAAATATCGTTCCCATTTTCCGTGTCTTTATATACTCTCTAATCCGACATCCTGAATATTCCGATATAAAATGCATCTCTAACTGCATTTTAGAAAAGCAATGTTTCACTGAAATATATAATTTAGTGTGATTTTTAGAATAAAGATTTGCGAAGATTTTTTTCTTATAATTATTCATAAAAGCCTTCATCTCATAGTGTGGATCTTTCTAAGCTGTAGACATGATTAATTTAGAATGCAAATGTAAATCTTTCACGCACTTTATTTTGATTGTTTCTGGACAATTAATTAACCAAGTATGTATCGGTGAAATTCAAAAAATTTATATTTAGGGGTCAATTTAAACAAAAATGACTACATGAATAATTATCAGTCTGTTAAAGAAAAGAAGGCTTAGCCATCTTTAAAAAACAAAAAAACATTAAGTTGCCCTCTCCAGGCGCAGTGGCTAAAAATGGCCCGATTCAAAACTTTCTTGTTTTCAGGTCATCATTATAATATTCTTTGGCTTCCCTCTCCCGACCAACCAACTAAAATTGTCCCAACTCAAAACTTTCTTTTTTCAGGCCATCTTTACCATATTGTTTGGCTTCCTTTTCCCGACCAACTAACTAAAAACGTCCCAACTCAAAAACCTTTCTTTTTAACGCCAAACAATCAATAATTTTGCATGATTTCTGGAAAATAGATTTTAAAATCTGATCATAGACTTTGAAATTTTCCTGGAATTTTTTTTCACTGGTACATGTACCTACCGACTCAGTTTTTTCATCCTGATGCTAAAGACGACAATCAAGCATTATTATAACATTGGTTTCAGTAGGTTTTTCTTATACAGGATAAATGACTTTTAAAAATCTCAATAACATCTTGGGAACAATATGTTACGTGTAATGGATATTAAACGTTTTTGGAGTTCAACACGTCTTTGTTACATTTTGAAAGTTTACACTAGTAAATAATAGTACGAATGTAAAAAAAAATTATTTACTATAGTGAAAACTTTGGAACTTTGATTTATTATGGTAAAAAATTTGAAACGTTGATTTACTCTAGTGACCAATGATATTATCATAACAAAAATTGCATTAAAGAAATTGTAAAATATTTCTGCAAATTTGCACAATTCACCTAAGACAGATAACATATGCGAGTTTCACGTTAGAAATTAACATTCATGTTGGCCACTAGGATTTGACCCTAAGGAACTTTAATCCACTATCTTTGTTTGTAAGTCAATCTAAGTTTCAAATAATTAGTCAAAAATGTTACATAAACTGAATTTCAAGTTTAATTTATTCACTAAAACAAATTGGTCTTACATGAAGTTCGATGTGCATTTTATATAAAACAAAAAATAGAAAATATACGTAAAATGGCGGAAATTCATTCAAATTAAGGTGTAACAAAAATAATTGTGGATGACAGACTTCTTCATATATATACTCCATTTATGTAACTGCATAGTTTAATTAATACTTTGGAGTCAGCAGTTGACAACAAATCTAAGAATTTGAAAAAAATGGTCTTTTACAATATTTTTTTTTTACTGTTTTTCCTAATCTGAAGTGTTTGTAACCACTGTGAACCCATCACCCCAGGGCAGGTCACATGATCAGTGATGCATGGTTATTTATAATTGTAGATAAATTCTATATAAATAGACATTTACAGTAAGATGTTACTCACTTCTACATTACCCAGAGAACAGAAAAGGTAAACGTAATATATATAAAGTAAACGTTTGATCAGCAATTATGTCTAGTGTTACGTATCTTCAATATATTTTTTTTTTAAATTGAGGATATTTACAAAGAGAGATATCTAGGATTAAGGACATACGCAACGTACCTTACCTACTGATAGATTTCAAAGATATTCCAAATTTAAACTTATAATATAATTACATGTTCATAGACAAAAAATCAGCACGCCTTACCAATATATATTTTTTTTGCATTAAAATAAAAATATACAAAAATTATAAAAGACAGGAGATTTTATTTACAAAAATTGTTTTAGAGAGATGTACAAATCTATATATAGACATTTAAAATATTGCACACAGGTCCTTCAAATGCAAAAAAGTTTAAATCAATTGCGTATGACCTTAAATGTATTAAGAAAAAAAAAAAGTAAAAGATAATCAATGACTTAAAAATCCTTCTCTTTAATGAAGCATTTTGATTCTAATTTTCTACTTGAGTATGTTTAATTCAACTCTTCTTTTTCAATGTTTGTTTATATACCTGCCTGTGTTGACATAAAAAGGTAAAATGTAAAATGCTCTTGACATTAAAAATATAGAAATTTGAGAACCTCTCCATCATTTTTAAACGTTTTGGTAGATTTTTCATGCACAATAAATTCAATTTAAGGTAGATATGGAATAAAACAGTTTTTCTGCTGTAGTTTTTACAGAATAAAAACCCAGTTTGCTCCCTTTAGTCTGTTCTCAGTTTATGGTCTAGGGGGCTGATATTTTCCTTATCTTCAAATGTTTTAAAATGTATTAATATTTTATTTAATTTTTCAGGATTTCTGAGAATCAATAGAAGATTAACAGTTTGTGGTTAGTGTGTTTACTGGCTTCGGCGGTGAGAGGGGCATCCGTGCAAAACGGGAATGTCCAGTCTTTCGATATTAAGGAGACCCAGAAACACCCGGAACAATTATTCACCCTTAAGACAAAAGCAGGGATCAACTATCAACCCTACGAACAGGCCTGGAAGGAATTTAAAATCCTGCATGGTAAGGCAATGTAATTCTAATCGACCGTTTTCCTATGACGTACTGAGTATTTTGCCTTAGATTTAATTTCCTTGGCCACAATCTTATAAGGAAATGTAGTGAATTTTCATCTTTGATCATGAGCAACCAAATTTAAACATGCATGCAAGAGATATCTGGGAGAAAAAGTTAACATTCTTAAAGTCACGAATTGATAGAGGCTTTACCAAACGTATTTTCGTATGGAAAGTAGTATTTTCTT